GGGGGGGGGGGGGGCAGCACACTACAGTACACAAGAAAATGTTTGGTTCAAGTTTGAGCCCAGTGAAAGTTTGGAGAGTTGGAAAATCCCTTTTTTCTCTTTTTTCTTCAAATTGGTTCTCTCAGCAAGCTTTTCCCAGACTTTTGAAAGCTGAACCCCTCACTTCAGGAAAATGAAAACAAATGTTCACCTGTTAATTCTGCCATGTGTTGGTAAGGGACAATTTATCTTAATTTCTACATTTCCTGCAGCTTCCACACTTTGAGACCTGATGATGTAGATCTTCATAATTCAGTACTTCCTCTCCTCTTACCTGCATTGATGGGCAGTGAAATATGTAACCGGAGCTATACTTTAAAATATTGTCATTGCATCTGAGTTTGCATCCATGGAACTAAATGAGGCATTTTATATAGCAGTGTGATTGTTTATTGTTCTCTGAAAACTTATGCAGACATTACTGAGGCTCTGGAGATCAGCTGATGGGTATTTCTGTGTTCCTGCCCCTGAATTATACCCATGTCTTAATGTAGCAAAGGATAAGAGACTTTTCCACTTGAATGATCCACCTAAGGGTGTCAGAATTGCAGCCGTTTTACTTAGCAGAATGCAATGGTACTACTGTACTGGGACAGGAAGTAGGGTAGAATCAAACATTTGCTCTTCCTTTCTATTTCAGAGGCAGTGTATTGCACCCAAATGAGTGTAGCAGTTTGTGTTTCCACCAACATGTCTGAGAGCTCTGAAAGGAACTGTGCTTCTAGTGTGGGCTGTGCTGAACAGACGTAAAGTAGCTAATACTGTTTAAACAGCACAAAGGAAATTCAGTGACAAAACTGGAACCAAAAGCTCAGTGGTGTTGCTAGTTACTTTAGTGCTATTATGTGTTCCCATCTTGAAGGATTTCTGAATTAAAGTAGTAAGAGATGTTTTGTTATGAAGACACCTCAGTCATAATTTCAGTAATACGTACATAGTGAAATATTCTTTGTCTAAATAATGACTACAGTAAAACTCCAATAGTCCGGCATCCAATAGTCTGGCAATCCTGATAGTCTGGCATCAAAATGGCAAGAGCCTAGTGAGTGAACTTCGGCAAAAAATGAGTCACAAGGTAACAGCGGCAGCAGCTAAACTGAGCAAAAAGTGTAAAAAAGGCTTAAAACTAAAACATTATAGTATACTGTATACAGTATGTACAATAAAAAGGGTTAAGAATACTTTATATACAGTATATAATGTATACAGTATATATATAACCAGCTTATAGTACCTCCTGATAGTCCGGCATATCTGATAATCCAGCATACCTAGGTCCCATAGGTTCCGGATTATCGGAAGTCCGTTGTATATAGATTATGAATCATGCATGGAAACACACTCTGTTGGTTAAATCAATTACTGAAAGAAACAAACTAAAACAAAAAGGAAATGGCAGATTGTGAGAGTGATATAACTTTCAGGTATAAATTTATTAAGTATACTTGTGCAAAGAATTTTCTACAGAGTGTTCTATAATACCTATATTTTCAATACCTAACATTAAACTCTCCACATTCCAAATTGGAATCCAGATTTTATAGCAGGTTGCACTTTTAAGACTAAAATGATCTGTGCCAGTTTCAGAGAAGATCATGTTAGTAATCAGATGTGAGTGATACAATTTAAGAGAAGGCACATTTGGTAGTTAAAAGCAGTAACACCATTAGCTTGATCAGTGTAAATTATGTATAGGTGGGAGATGTGCCCAATACACACATGCATATTTATCTCTTAGGCATTAGTACCACAATACCTGTTGTTTCAGTTATGAATTGTTTTTATCTTTGGCCATGAATCAATCTGGGAACATGACATGGAATAATGTTATTTTGTCTCCATGTTCTCTCAAACTCCTCTAAAAAAAATCAGCAGATTTTTACATAAAAGTTTCAATCGAAAACATTTTGAATGTTTGTACTGTTCATAGTTCTAGGTTGCCTCATTAAACATTGTTATGTGACCATCAAGTATTCTAGTTTTTGCCAGTTCTGGGTTACAAGAGGCAATTCATTTTGAGCACATTTACAATACATATAGCACGTGCCTGAGCATCTTTCATTTTAGGACAGGTTTTGTTTGAAAAATTCACACAATAAACTACAGAGAACTCAATTAATCACCCTTGAAGATAAAGTGCTTTCAGTTCTGTTTAGGTTTAAACATGTAAGTTGAAGGAGCCTAAATATTTTAGAGATGGATTTTACATCGCAGAGCATCTAATCCAGCAGTTATAATTTATACTTTAAAATATAATAGCATTGCATTAAATGTTTGCTTAGCTAAGGGAAGCCTCTGCTATATTTTAGGAATAGAAGAATCACCCCGCAGAAAAAGCTATGCTTTAGTAATAGATGAAGCTATCTACTTTGTGTTACGTCCCCTTATTCTTTCAGCCTTGCTAGATGAAATCTTGGCCCTAGTGAACTCAATAGTTTTGCCATTGACTTCCATGGGGGCGAGGTTATCTGCCTATTACTGACCTGTTGCCCAATCCTTTTATCCCCCTAAGATTTTTTTTCTTTTGACTTTTTCATAGACTGTCCCAGTGAGTCATGACACCATCATTGTAGAATAGATTTTAAATTGAAGGTATGATGGATGCTCTTATTTTGTACAAAATATTTGCTATTAATGGCCACTATTGTGTACGTTTATTGTAAATTGCTTAATGTAAAATGTATCACTTCCAAAAATACCTTTTATTGTTAGTCTTTTTTGGCCTCTACATGGGTGAGAAAAAATATCTGTTAATATTGTTGAGTGCCTTTTCTTGTTGTGACACATTGAGCTTTTATACTTATTTGTGCATGTAAATCAAGCAACACAGCAGGATACCATAGATTCAATGCTGCAAGTAACCCTTGGAAGTGCTAGTAAATTATATATGTAGCATACAATACATATAGGTATCTGTTATTTATGATTGGATAGGGCAAAAGGGCACACAATGTCCCCAACATCCATAAATTCTCTCGTGGCCAGGCTTGTGTGAATCAAAACATACTGAGAAGTTTACTGAGGCTCTATGGGTCACAATGGGAACGTGCCTGCCTTCTTCATTTGGAAAAAGGTAATAAATGCTTTTCTCTTAAAATATTGCTCCCTTGTTGTCAATGTAATTTAGCTTGGCTCCAGGTTTCAGACTCTTACTACTTTGATGGTCTAATGTATGGCAGGAAAGTTGTAGCACCTCATCAGAGGGCCATAGCAGTTGTAATTTATTACATATGGTGGTCCTAAGCAATAGATTACAAGAAGAGATGACTCTGGGGACAATTTTGGATGGTTTCAGATGTGAAAGGTTATTTCCTGGTTTTACATTAGGTAGACAGCAAGAAGAGGTTGGCAAAGCTCTGAAACAACATATGAAGGATGAGTAGAAGAGGAAGGATCTTCTAAGGTCTTCGCTTTTGATCTTAGCTTTGAAGTAACTGTGAAGTCTGGAAATTTAGGGGAAGCCAGGTAATCTGGAAGCTGCCTTTTGATGATTCCTCTAAAATGGGATGAGAAAATTCTGACCTCCAAGAAGTCTTCGGACTAATTTACTTCTTCTCAAAGAATTGGTGGTAAGTCCATTTCAGTCAATGAAGTAACATGACTAAAGTTGAGTGATTTTTTTTTATTTATTTTTGTCATTTTTAATGCAAAAATTGATTTTTTTTGCAATAATCTTCAATGTTTCAACTAACTTTAAATATGCCATAAAACGTCTAGCAGTAAGACCACAAGAACATGTTTTTTTGGACATCATTGGACATTTTCAGCAGAAGATGTTTATTCTTCACCTATGATCAGAGTTGGTATGTTACTCCATATAGTATCTTTTAAAGAAATGGTGGAGAACGTTCTTTTGAATTGGTTAGTTAGAATGAACTTTGTAACTCGTGTTCATCAATGGGTTATTAACTTGGGTAATAGCATCATGGAAGTGTAGTATAAATAGAATAGTATTAGAGAAGCAACATGATCCTTTCCACCATGCCATAGGCTACGTCTAGACTGCATTGCTTTTTTGGGATACCGGAAGTATCCTGAAAAAGCAACGCACGTCCAAGGAACGTGTCCGTTTTTTTCTGAAAATTTTTTGAAAGAATGGTCGCACTCTTTCACCATCCTTGAAAACCTCATTCCAGAAGGAATATGTCAATGTCTACACAGCAGAGCTTTTCCAGGAAAAGCTCTTCTGTGTCCAAGGAACACATCTGCTTTTTCAAAGTAGTTTCCAAAAAAAGCAGATGCGTTCTTTCGGCATCCCTGTATTCCTGATGGTATAAGGAATAAGGGATGTTCCTAAAGAGGAAGTTTTTCTAACATTAGCCCCAGGTAGACAGGCCAAATTTCAGAAAAGCCTCTTCTGAAAAAAAGTGGAAAAAGATACGCCAATTGCTGTTTGCAATTTTTGTATCTTTTTCCGATATAATTCTGCAGTCTAGACATAGACTAAGGGATGGCTTGAAAAAGCATTTTTTTTCATAAATTAGGCACTGTGTAGACGCACCAAATTTCAAAAGAGCCTCTTTTGAAAGTAACTTGGTAAAGATACGCAATTTGCATGCTGCAAATTGCATATCTTTTTCCAATTTAACAGTGCAGTTTAGACATAGCCATAGTGATTTGATCTTCCACATTATTGGGAAATAATGTGATTGAAATCCTGAGAGATGGTGTGGGATGTCAATTTCAATTACCAGTGTCAATGATAGAAACAATGATTGAAGCAGTTTGTTACAGACTTTTTGAAAAAAATATTTATTTCGGGAATGGAGTATAAGGAACAAAGTGAATCAACTTTTGGAAAAATATCCAGGATGCATTGTTGTGTGAGGTCATGCATTACTTTTTCCTATTTTGCTTAAACACTGTTGAAGAAAAGAATTCTGTCTACTCCGGAGTCTCATTATAGTCCCAAGTCTTCATCTTAGCAGAGCAGGATATAAACCAAATTTTAAAAAATAGCC